AACTATGTTAATGAAACCATGTATTTTCTTTGGAATTTGCCTTTCTTCAAAATGGTTCCACCTAGAACTAACTTTTGGCTGATAATTGCTCAACAAACCAGTATTCATATCAATTGTTTTATGGCTGAGGGATGATACACTTCCTGCCATCCTATCTCAAAAATGCATATTGTGGGAGAGGGGCTGGTAAAACTCCATCAGCCTTCCGGTGTCTCTCTTATCTGATCAATAGCTTTCTAACAGACATAAAACATCCCACTAAAGATTAGCAGGGGGGCACTCTCCATCCCCCTTTTCATGTCTATGTCAGAAGCTTTCTCTGTCCTTTGATATACTTTAATAAAACTCTGCTATACAAAAGCTCTTGAGTGATCAAGCCTGGACCACATCAAGGAGATGGAAACCATGCCAACTGTGGCAATCTAGATCAGGAAGCCCTAAGGAGACCCAGAAGCCTACTGCAGGCATTTGAGTGAGTACAGCCCAGACCAGAAGAACTGTCCAGCTAAACTTAGCCCAAATATTGATGCACATACTGTGAGATAAATTAATGGTTGGTATTTTAAGCAACTAAGTTTTGAAGTGATTTGTTATATAGAAGCTAACTGATATCTACCCTTTGGCATCTGACTACATGAGCTGTAGCAGTAGCAATTCTTAGGAAATTATAAAATCTTAATATCCCATACAGCATTTCAGTAGTTTCCTGTTCTTATTTTGGCTGTGATTTCATGTAGTATATTCATATGTCATTTTGCAAATGTATGTGGAATAATGTACTTAAAACGGAATGCAAAAAAGAAAAACCCTGGAACTTTAAAAAAACAATAACTACAAAACAGATGCTGTCAGAACACTGAATCCGCATATGTGGAAGTTGAAATGAATACAAAAAATTAGAATTTGACCACTCACATTTCAAAGGGAATGAAGTAAACAAATTCCCTTCAGAGTCACCAAAGGAAATTTTAGACGGCTCATGGGGCACACATATATATCTGAATAGTTTGGCATTCACAGTCCTTCCATTAAACTGTCCGCCTCAGCCATCTTCTGGAGTCAGAGTCCTTCCAAAGCACCTTCTTCACCGCTCCCTTCACATCCCTGTTCCTTAGCATATAAATGAGGGGGTTGGTCATGGGGATGATGACAGTGTAGAAGAGAGACATGAACTTGTCCCGATCCTGGGAGTTGTTGCTGCTGGGCTGATAATACACATACATGGCTGTGCCAAAGAACAGGGAGACCACCGTGAGGTGGGATCCACACGTGCCAAAGGCTTTTCTCTGCCCTGCAGTGGACTTGATTCTTAAGACTGCCCTGACAATCCGACCATAGGAGAACACAATTGCGGGGAGCCAGGCTGACTGCTCAGGCTCCTTCTTGGCTCTGAGAGAGATCAAGAGGTCCCTCTCTGTCCCGCCACCCCTGATTTATTAAAGCACAGGTTGGCCTTTTTCACCTCCCTCAAGGAAATTGCTGTAGCGATCTTTCATCTGTTTTCCTGGTGCTGATAAACTCATCATGATTGAAGCCTGTTATCTATCTAGTTAATGTTCTATTGATCTCAGTCATGTTGGGTGCTAGGGTAATACTTTACTGTCCTTAAGTGGAGGAATTTAAAACATCTGTGCCTGTAGCTCTGCACATATGCAAACCTTTAATCTATTAGTAACTCCTGTTAGCACATATATAGGTGTGGTATTCTTCAGTAAAGTCGTCGGTTTCAGTCGAGAGCTGATTCTGTCCCTCTCAACCCCATCTTTTCTAGTCTTTTATTTCTCAGGTATTTCGGCGATTGCGCCCGTGACCGGTTCGTTTGCCGGCAGGTTCCGGCAGTTGCAAACAGTCAGACAGGACTGAAGTGACATAGCACACAGCACGCACACACACACACACATACACACACGCACCCTCATAGATAGATATACCTTGACCCAATAAAAAATTTTAAATCCAGCATTCAGGATTTTTGCTTTTTGGGATAGTATTTTTCTTTTGCCTTTATAAAACTTTCAACCTTTATAAAAAGTTTGCAGAAAAGAGGGTAAAAAATCAAATAATCCTGATATTTATTTAATGGGTAAGAAAACCAAAACCCCCAGAGAAATGACGTTTAAATTCATGCAAACAGTTGCTACAAATAACAGCTTCATGAAACAATTTTGAAGATATATTTGTTTATAGTAAAGGTAGGTTAATTTGTTTAAACATTTGTTTAAATGTCAGCAATATCTCAATTAGATTGTTACTTTTCTGATGGTTGTCAAATTTGTATTCACATTGTGCATGCATGTGCTCAGTTGTGTTCAACTCTTTGCAACCCCATGGACTATAGCCTGCCAGTCTCCTCTGTCCATGGAATTTTCCAGGCAAGAAATACTGGAGTGGGTTGCCATTTCCTTCTCCAGGGGATCTTCCTGACCCAGTGATTGAACCCACATCTCCCACATTGACAGTCAGATTCTTTACCACTTGTGCTACCTGGGAAGGTGTATGTTTTTGTTTTATTTTGTGATAATGTTTAAGAACTTAAGACATCAAAGAGTCTTGATAAGTTAATCCATTTTGTGTGAGTAATTTTCTCTCTCCTTGTGATGCATTTCAAATTTCTAATATCTTCCCAGTACTTCATTTTCAGTAAGCTGAAT